CAGCAGCATCCCTGCTGTTATGAAACAGCGTTAACAGTTTAGTTTCATTAAGGAATGATGGTGAGATAAAAGTTGAAAACTGATTACTTTTAAATTGAAGCTGGACATTAATATATACAACATAGATTTCGGACCAATACAGACCAATACCAATTCATAACATTGATCATGTGATCAGTCACTAGATCAAAGTCTTGCATTTTTTTTTTTACGTTACATCTTTTTTAACATTTCTTGATTATTATGCAAATAATCAAGCAGATGAATGACACCAAGTTCACTCTGACATATATATTGGATATAAAAATATCCTATACGAGACCTTCGCCATGAACAGCAGGAAAGAGCCAGTAACTGGCGTTTCATTAATTCAGCACTTCTCTGTTTCTGTCACAGCCAACTCAGGTCAGGGCGCTTCCAGCTTAGTGTGTGACGCGCAGCAGGAAAATACACAACTCTGTCAGAGGAAGCCAAGCAGATGACGGGTGTTTGTCAGGTTGTTTAAATGAGACAAGTAAACGGAAGTGCTGCCTCATTCAACTTTGAACATTTCATCAGTGTGCAACTGCCAGCAGATTAAAGCTGAACGCTGGCTTCTTGAGACACGATTTTCAAAGTCATCGAAGAACATTTGGATATTACTGTTTAAAAAATAAAGCACTGATGACTAAAATGAATGGCAACAAATCACAGCACATCATATGAAAAACATGCATCAGATGTTAGCTTTAAACAGCATTAAACTTTAAAATTACATTAAAAACCTATTACATTTACAGTCATTAATTTATTAAATTTAATAAGTAAAATATATAATGTTAATTTTGTAATCAAAAATGGCTTAACACAAACCAAATCAGTTTTTTTTTCTTAGATGAGCAAATAAAAGCATGTGCATTCATAGTATTCAGTACTGGCACTTGGTTTGTGTCAAGCTGTATAATGTTTTTTCCCCATTTGCGTTGATGAAATGAATAGTGTGATCAATAGAGTATCATGTAAAGGTTGTTGTAAATGTAAAACTGAGATACTGCAGGTGGGAAAACAAGGTTATGATGAAGTGTTAGAAAAAATCTACTAAACTAATTTAGACTCACCGTGGCATCTATATACTACTGCTCTCAGATCATATAAAGCACTTCATTTATCTTCATCTTTATCCAAGCGCCTACTAAATGAATACTAACTACATTTAGATTTTAGTTTAAACATACCAATCATTCATCTCATGAAAGATTTTCCCTAAAGATAAAACGTAATTTAAAAAGTTTTTTCTTTTTTAAGTTGTGCTATTAAGGACCGGACCCTTTATAAAGCGCATGCCATTATAAGACCACCAATTTTCATTTATATAAAATAAATTAATAAAACTTTTTTTTTACACTTAATCTACATTAGACAGATTGCAAAATGGATGGTCAGCAGATTGAATGGGTATTCAATGCTTTTTGCTACAATGCTTGGAATTACTAATTAACTTTTAATACCCTCAGTGGAAAGCATAATTAGGAATTGACGAGCAATGTTTTACATTCCAAAAACAAGAAACAACAGACCTGTCAGAATCCAGACTCACTAATGAATAGAGGACCAGAATTTCAACAACAAAACACTTATGGTTATTAAGGGCTGGTGTAAATACATTTTTACCAAAAAACATTCTGGTACTAAAGTCATGAGGCACAACCCTAAAAAGTAAAAAATAAAAAATCAGATCGATCTGCATTTATGTGCCAATTCAACCCTGCCTGTGAAATCGGAGTGGGCTAAAATTAGAACTTGTCTGTGGGTTCTTCACCGTCTAGGTCATCATGGGTACACCTGCTCGCACACACACACACAGCATCACCATTACCGTCCTAGAGCCATTGTATGTGTGAAAAGATCAGGCAGTAAGAAAACATAATAGTTTGTTCTTCTGAGATGATGTGCTTTTTGACTGGTGCCTTTTAAATTACACATCTCCACGTGTAGAACACAACAGATGCACACTGTAGAAAGATCTCTGTTAAAAGGAATTTAAGATGCTGGGATTATGGTGATTTTTCATTATAAAAAAAAAAGTGAAAAATTTTTTTAGAATTTGGAATTTGTAAATCTTGCGATTAAAAATGTTTTCTCTTTTTCTGTATTTAACAATAAAAAAGTAGTACTCTGCATTTATTTGCCTTTTTGCAATCCAGCTTAGAAAAATTAAAATCGAGATTGATATATCAGAAATTTCAGACTGTATATTAGGTTGTGTCCAAATTTAAAGATGTAAGGTATAAATGTTGCTGGCCAAAAATTTCCATACTTATGTATCACTATTTTTCTAAATCAAGATATGGGTATTTAAGCAACACATTTTCAGCAGCTACAACCTCTGCTATAGTCAACCAGACAGCTAACTAATGCAGTTTTAGACATGATTTATAAATGAGCCTTGCATATCGTTTTAAAAACTGCATGGAAAACACAAGGTGCCCACTTCCTTCACCAATTTCAATGTGCTTCTGAGCTTGCACTCCAGTGGTATCTGTGGTTGCTAAGCAACCATCAACCGCACTCTCCAAGAAACCACCACAGACAAACCCTCGCTGCAGCTCAGATACAAGCTTCATTTATGAAGAAAATAAAAATGCACCACAGTTTGAGTGCTCTGCCTTTGTCTGAGGTTACTAGTCTAATGCTATCAGTGGACTAGTGGAGCTGTGCATCGGTAGATTTGCTCTTCAGTGGATCAGTGTCTTCAGCATTATCTTTGCATTAAACTGATGTAAAATAAACTGAACAAAAACCTCAACCTCAAACCTCTTCATACTAAAACTAAAGTGTTTTATTCACTAAATAAAACACAGGGCAGCTAGCTCTCAGCAACTCTCACATGGTCGCCCACTGAAGCTAAGCAGGGCTGTGCCCGGTCAGTACCTGGATGGGAGACCACATGGGAAAGCTAGGTTCCTACTGGAAGTGGTGTTATGGTGTTAGTGAGGCCAAAAGAGGGCGCTCAACCTGTGGCCTGTGTGGAACCTAATGCCCCAGTATAGTGACAGGGACTCAGTGCTACTGCTCAGTGTTTGCTCGTCTTTTAGACGAGATGTTAAACCGACTTTGGGTGTACCGACTACTGATGTCCTTTGGGTGTCCTAGGGGTTTAACTCTGGCATCTCTCTCCATCATGGCCTCCTAACCCTTCCATCCAGTCGGATGCTGCGCACTGGTGGCAGATGAGGAGATCCACCCGCCCTACGCCCCAAATTGTGTAAGGTGCTTTGAGTGCCAAGAAAAGTGCTATATAAATATAAGGAATTATTATTATTATTAAAACTCCACCAGCATTCTACACTACCTGCTGGAACGTTCCTCATTTTAATACATAATGGCCTTTCCTCTCTTTTGCTCATCTATGTTAAGCTGCTTTGGCACAATCTACATTGTAAAAATGGTACAGAAATAAAGATAAACTAAATTTAACTGAATATTAAAGAAATGTGTATAATCCACAGTGTTTGAAGCAGATTGGTTGCATCATCACATGACATGCAGTGCATTTGCTGCATTCTGAAAAGTTCAGACATTTTCATCTTGATGTGCTGGAAAGAGCAAACATATCACACCACATTATCTCAGCAACATGACCTCTAATCTCCTTGATATCAACTGGTTTGGCACCTACATTACATTTCATGCTGTAAAACATGCCGTTTCTCCATTTCTTACAAGAATGACATACAGAACACACTAAGGCAGTTTTTGTCCTCTTACAATACTTAGATTTAAGCTTGTTTTTCATCTCATTTTATGTTTAATGTGTTTACGTTTTATGTTATTCAACAAGAAGAGGTAGTACAAACAAAAAGTGCTGATTATACAAAGGAACTGTTTGTGTTCAAAGAATTAAGAGTTAGAGTTAGGAAAGAATTATTTCCGACTAGCAGAAATTAATCCAAGTAAACATACACGCACTTAATATAAAATAACACTCAAGAGATATAGCACTGTTCTTCACTGAATGCTGAGATCCTTTTAACTGTTTTTATCATTTCACCAAAAGTTTTACAGCTGGCTTATTTTTCCCCATTCTCAAGACGGTCGCATTTATACGGTCAATAGCGCATCACATTAAATGTAAAATTTGCTAAACATTATATTTAACAGGGTTTATTTTTAGGTTAAATTTATACATAAATCATTTAAATGCTATATAAATACAGTATTAAAGACAATTCTGAATCTCCTGTTCAGACTCAACATTGTATATCTGAAGCCTTAATGACAGTGAAAGTCATCTAGATATCAAAACAGATCTAAATGTTTCCATTTTGGATCCCTAGTTCTGTCAGTTTCACAAAGCTACTGACTGAGTCAGAAGGCTTGAAATACAGACATATGAATTACGTTTTATTTATTTATTTATTTATTTAGTTAGTTATTTATTTGTTATCGGCCCTGTGAAACTTAACAGCAACTGTCCGCATTCAATTTCAGTATATGGAAAATAGTATTTCCACAGATAAAAGAAGTGAGAGGGTTTAGATGGACAAGAAGGCGAGTAAATTATTACACAAATGTCTCTTTTGGCTGAACCTGGCAATTATTTTGGGGTGGGGGGGTGAGGTTTGAGTAGGCAAAGAGACCAAAAGAAGAAGGTCTGAAAATCTGCAACACCTGAGATGGCAGATGTGAAGCAGAAAAGTGGAATATTTACTGAACACAACCTAAAAGGCATATGAACCAAAAGCCACATGCGTTTCCCCAATCAGTAAACCTGAAATATAATAACACTGAAGCTCTCCGCGGGGGGTCATTTCAATCCGTTCAGCAAAGATAAGGGAAGAAGAAACAATTCTACACCTTTCCGAAGAGATGATATGAAAGGAAACCAGAGGAAAAGAGAAAAAAAGGAAGACAACACTGAGTTACAGAAAGGAGCAGAGGTAAGGGGCAAGTGAAAGAGACAGATAATGGTATGGAAATGGAAGGATGAGTGGACTTCTGTGAGATGAGTTCTGGATTACCTTCATAAAGCTGAGCATACTGAGGAAACCCCGCCGCTCGGAGCCACTCACAGGCGTCTTTTGCCTCCAGCTCTGGAAGAGAGAAACATGAAGGGAGAAAAATCAATAAGATAATATGCCGATTCATTAGGGCTGATTTATGAAAATGATAGGAAGAGAATGAATGCTGTGGTCTTCATGCTATAAACTGGCATCACTTGATTAAAATGAGACAAGGAGAATATATCTGGCCCGATGCTCATTCCACCATGAATAAGAGCTGTTTAAATTTGTTTAGATAATCTGTGGCTACATTATTAGTTCTGTCTATGGAAAAAAAGAAACACATTCAGCTCGACAATGAGAGCGGATTTGGAATATTAAGCTCATTTTACATGAGACTGAAACATGCCATTACTGAAACCCAATAATCTTTGCCATGTGCTAGGAGATAATTTATGATATTCATAATATTATTTGAATAATAAATATTCATTAGTATGGATGTACAATACCCATTTAGGCTGATATCCATTATACCTTTTTTTTTTTTTTAAGGAAAATGTTAAGTGTCACATAGGCAACAAAGTGCATTACAGGGATCCAGTCTGCACCTAAAATGTTCATATTTGTGACCAAAATATAACATTAAGCAATATTTTCAGTGAGATCGCCACTGGTTACCACACTATTAAACCCAAAAAGTTAAGGTAACTCAAACCATTTGAGGAAAACGATTGCAACAAACAATTCAAAAGCTAATCCTAAAGAGTACCCTGAACTTAATTTATTTGAGTAAACAAAGCACAGTAAAACCCAAAAAGTTAAGGCAACTCAAATCACTTGAGGAAACAGATTGCTTCAAACTATTTGAGTAAAAAAAAAACTAATCTATACGAGTACTGTGAACTTACTTTATTTAAATTGAAGTAATGAGTTATTTATTAAACTCATTACATTCAACACTGAGTTCAAAACTTTTTTTCAAATGAGTAGAATTAACTTTCAGTCAATTTTGAGTTAACTACATATTTCATCTGATAAAGTAGACTGTTTGGTTTTACAGTGCATATATATTTAATCAAAATCATCATAACATAATTTACAAATATCCAATGGAGAATCTTCTTTCTGCACAAGAAAAATATATGTTAAATTATATGCATTTGGACTTTTTCCAAACAAAATCTCTTATTTCTTTCCAGCATTGCTGCTCATGACATGCTATTAAAAAAATAATAATAATAAATAATAATAATAAATAATAATAATAAATTATATATATATATATATATATATATATATATCAGGCTTTAGTTGTGCAAGTGTTTGCATGAGAGCGAAGGGCGTGACAAAAAAAAAAACAATAGAAAGAGCTAAAAATAAACACAGCCTACAAAATAGTGTACAAATAGCTTTCCCTAACTTTACTTGAGGTTTTGCTTACGTTAGAGTTTATAGGTTCCAAGGGATGCTGTTGACATAATTAAGGTCAAAGACATTGGCTCAGATTCTGTGTAAATTGAAAACTATAGTCCTGTGAAAAAGACATCCAGTTCCCTTTAAAAAAGCGCAGGCATACACACATTGCACTCATGACAGGATTCCTAAAAGTAAGCATTTTACAACTTAAAAGGCTCATTCTTAAAAAGTTTGTTCTTATGGCAATTTAAAAATATAATTTGGCACCTCGCCCTATCATAGGAGCTCCTTAATTGATTGTTTTTGAATGAAGGCCTGCATTAGTACCCTCACGCTTTTTCATGAGCATTGGTTGCCTAAATTTTTAAAAGAGGTAGTGTTAAAATGTTTTTGTTTAAGCATTTAAAGTTATGAACAAACCAACCAGCTTTGATTGGAAATTTAGAAAAAGTAAACAAATACAAAAAAAATAAATAAATAAAAACATTTAACAACATTTTTTAATTGAAACAAGCAAAACTTTTAATAAAATAGTATTTTATTAAAAATAAAAATTAAGAGAGATACATATTAATCCTTTAATCTACAGCAGCATATTATTTGCTTACTGAGAGATTATGTACATCGTGGTTTTGTACGTTTTTAGCAAAAGCCTCACTGTTAAACATATTAAAAATAGTGAATTGAATGCAAACAAATTGATTAACCAAAATATGATTCATTTACAACTCTCTAACGGAATAGACCTTAAAAATTCCTTAAACTTCCCAAACCTGCAGATTATTATATCTTTTTTTGATCATTTGTTCAAACCCTTTATTTTATAACATCAATTATTGATTAAGTGGGGTAGGCTGTAGGTTGATGGGTGGCATCATTCTCTATTTGCATTTTCAAGTTCAAGAAGCCAGACATGTGATGGACAGCACCTTCAAAACTTGCATGAAATGTCTGAGATCACCATGGAAACTGAAGTGACAGGAGTTGGTACACCAACTAAAAAAACAACCAAAACTGAGAAAAGCTCAGAAATAACTGGCCAAATACAAAAACAACCTGGAACTGATATCAAAGTTTTAGAGGTGTGATTGAGCGTCTAGGACAAAAACATACAGACGGCAGAATATAGCCTAAAATGAAGTTAATACAAGAACTAAATACAAATGACATCCTAATAGTAATATTACAGAAATGTACATATGTATATAGTAGAGTTTTCATTTCAAATGGTAAGTTGCACTGTGAAAACAAAATTAGCAACTGCAACATTTAACCTTTTTTTCCATTTCAGTGTTTCCTAGTCTTACATAACTAATTAGACTTATGTAACTAATTCACCAAACAGATATGTCATCTCCGATAACACTCACAAAAGATATGTGAAAGTTTCATATTACTTACACATGCTTATTTCAAATATTTGAGAAAGACACTTGTCAAATTTTATTTTAGAGATCAGACGTGAGGTTCAGCTGTGTGCTCTTCATTTTTTCTGTCTGATTTGGGCAGCTAATATTGCTAACAACTGCTCTGACTGACTGTTTAGACAACACAAAAGCATTTGCTTAAAGGCGTGTGACGCTTCTTAGTAACGTGGAACTGATCCACAAATCACAGCACATTATGTTAGCTGACCAATCAGAGCCTCTTAAGGGCGGGCCTTTCAAAAGAACTAGGAAATATGAAAGTGGTTTTCATGTTAGTGGATTAACTGTATAAAATCAAAGATATTTGAAAAAAATAACATGATTTTCTACAAATGAAGCATGAGCATACATTGCTTTGCATCTTATAAACACAATACCTACACTGTGGACCATCTCTTTAAAACGTGTGTTTTTTCTTTAAGTGAACTATTACTTTCTTATTCTTCAGGTGGATAATCCATCTGTAAACAATATTAGTTGAAAAAAAAGTTTGTTTTGGTAACCTTGTCTTATCATTTGCATCTGCATTTCAAGGGGCGGCCCTTCTCTATTGATGTCGACGTTTGGCGGCTTCTGCCACAAAAATCTTTAGCACAACAACATACTGAAATAAGTCAGCAAATTCTGGTTCACGCTGGATTTAAAGAAAGCAAAAATAGTAATATTTCTTCTGACGCACATAGTTGGATACAAATTCCCATTTACCACAGCGAACAGTTGTAACTGCATTATTTTACTTGCCTTACGATTTTAAATGGTGACTGCCTCAACAACCAGACCCAAGCAAAAAATACAAAAATGAGAGAAAATACCCTGACAAACTCAATCCTGACAATACATCAGCACGATACAATCAACAACCAAAACATTGAGATGCAATGAAACCAATCCCATTATAAAACATCTCATCTCATTATAAACATGATCTAAACCTGTCAGAAGAAACCTTTTAACGGAGGAACTAAAACACCTGAGAGAGAGAAACAGAGAGAGAAAGAGATTATCAGTGAAATAAAAGGGAGATTCACATCTATTTGAACTTCAATCATGTCTTTAATATTCCAGTAGTGATCTCTATCATTCTATCAAAGGCAAAGGAGAAATTACACACTTCATATTACAGGAGCCCATAGATAGCTTTTGATTTTGTTGGTGTCAAACTGACAAAACAAATCAACTTACACAGCAACTAGTAAACATTCATCCTTATATAAGTAATTAGCCATGACAGTTTTGGGATACAGTTTGATGAAGTTAGGAAAACATAAATTTATTGTTAATTCAATATAGTGATTCATAATTGAATGGCATAAACAGACTTATTTTGCTGAATCACATAATCCCAAAGGAAAGTAGAATATGAATGGCATTTTAGAATATGCACTTGAATCCATGATGAACCTGCGATTATGTCCACTGAATGATAAAATCTTTTACCATTTTGCACCACAACAATAATGATATAATGCGTCCTTTTCTTTGTATTTATACAACTTTATATAGTATCTATAAGCAGGCTGTGCTGATATTGCTGTCAAAGTGAGCTGAACTCAACAACCCTAGCCTATTTATAAAGGCAGTTGCTGTCTATTGAAAGCCTTTCAAGAAAATCCCCAGCACACTAAAGTAAAAATGCGCTCAATTGAGCAGATGTGAATGAAAAAAAAAAAAAAACACTCTGATACAATGAATATAGCATGACACAAGTTCATTGATATATACATTTGAGTGTTTATATAGCCACAGGGTAGCACATAATACTACAGCTACTAATAGCAATTTATTGAATTCCTGGCTTGGAATAAAGAGTGCAAGGTTGGTATAACTGCTTCAGCATATTTTGATAAGAGTTATTATGTTAACACAAAAGTAAATTAATTGTTTGAAACCTGAAATGAGCACATTGGTTTTACCAACCAGGCTTTACTTCATCTAACACATACAAAATGTTCAATAAATACTTAATAAAAAAAGTTTGAAGAAAGTGCAAAGAAGCCAATTTTCCTAGGACGGTCATCCCTTTTGGCCAGTATATTCAAATTTATTCAGATTGAAATCATCCTGAAAAGATTAATTCCGTCTATAACTAAAGAAGGACAACGTGAAGATGAAAACTAGAGAGAAAAATCAATAGTTTTTTTTCTTTTTACAAAGTCACTGGGTACCGTATTTGAATTTCAGATGCCAGGAGAGCTCAGAAATCTTATATCTGAAAATCTATGTGCGAAATATGTATGCACATAT